TTCTCTCTCTCCCTCCCTGTCTTTCTCACTCCCCATCTTTCTCTCTCATTCTCCCTTTCCCTCTCATTTCCCCCTCTTTCTCATTCTCTCTCTCATCCCCGCTCTCTTTCATTCCCTCTCTTTCTCGTTCCCCACTCTCTCATTCTCTTTCTCTCTCTCTCGTCCTTTCCAGGAGTTCTGCCTCTTTGCTGTGGTGGGCCTGGTGTCCGACTTCTTCCTCCAGATGTTTTTCTTCACCACCGTCCTCTCCATCGATATCCGTCGGATGGAGGTAAAACCCAGAACCGGAAAGTCTTTGTCTCTTTGTAAGGGAGGGCTTCGTCGAGGCCATAATCCGGGTTATATAAGATCCAAACGGGTCAATCTCAAATCGTTTGGAGAAGGATCTTGGAATCCTGGTCAACGATCCCTTCGAAACCCGAGCCAGCCGGGTTAATGCAGCAGCCGAGAAGGCCAACACGGTTCTCGGGCTGCATTAACAGAGGGATTGATTCAAGATCACGGGAGCGTTAATACCGCTTTAAAAGGCCTTGGTATAAGGCAGGGATCGGCAACCTGCGGTTCTGGAGCCGCATGTGGCTCTTTCCTCCCTCTGCTGCGGCTCCCTGTCGCCGGTCGGCTCCACAACTGATAGGGCTTTCGGTTAAGACAAGGAGAGGAAAAAGGACGCCGTGCTAGGAGGAGACTCTATGGTGGGGAACTGCCATAGAGTGGTCAGCTCCAGAATTGAATTGGGGACGGGCTTCCGGTTAGGATCTTTGTGGCTCTTTCGGTGTTTTTTAAGGTTGCCAAAGACCAGTTGCAGGAATTTGTCTGAAAGGATGTAAGGTGTCCTGCTCGAGCAGGGGGTTGGACTGGATGACCTCCAAGGCCCCTTCCAACTTTTGTGGTTCTGAAAGGGTCTCCTGCTCGAGCAGGGGGTTGGACTGGATGACCTCCAAGGTCCCTTCCAACTTTGGTGGTTCTGAAAGGGTCTCCTGCTCGAGCAGGGGGTTGGACTAGATGACCTCCAAAGTCCCTTCCAACTCTTGTGGTTCTGAAAGGGTCTCCTGCTCGAGCAGGGGGTTGGACTAGATGACCTCCAAAGTCCCTTCCAACTCTTGTGGTTCTGAAAGGGTCTCCTGCTCGAGCAGGGGGTTGGACTGGATGACCTCCAAGGTCCCTTCTAACTGGTGTCGTTCCTCCTCGAGGAGAGAGAGAGAGAGAGAGACTCCTGAATTCTGACCCATATATGGGTTTTTTCTTCCCTTTGTCAGCTGGCTGATCTCAACAAGCGTCCTCCCGCCGAAGCCTGCCTCCCGCCCCCCAAACCCGGTGCCCGGGGCCCACGGTATGAACGCCAGCCGGCCATGCGCCCAGCTACCCTACATACCATCAACCTCCAGACCTCTTCTCTCCGTAACCTCCGCCTTCCCAAGCGCCTGAGGGTGGTGTATTTCTTCGCACGGACCCGACTGGCCCAGAGAATCATCATGGTAAGACTTGGGGGACTTTCGGTGATGCACACGACGGGACAGGACAAGGCTCGCAGCCCCCCACGGAGGCTTCTGCACGAGGGGTTGCTTGGCCATCGGGGGGGGGTATTTGGTGTCCGAGCCACGAAAACGTGGTCGGAGGGCGTGGAAATGGAAGGAGATGGGTGTCAGGATTCCAGGTGATTGCCCTAATTCAGTCATGAGCCTCGAGCCAAGCTTCGAAAGAATCCAAAAGATTTATCGGGAGCAACACGTTGGCATTGACCCATATGACGCCAGCTCTGCCACACGTAATTTACCGTCACTTGTCATCCATGTTTTCCCCCTCCCCCCGGGTGTGTCATCAATCACATTCTCCAATGAAGGATTTTCGAGGGCGCAAGGTCTGGTTCCCAGGCTACAATTGTTGTAAGAGAAGCGTGGAATGTACCTCTGGCTTTCACCGGCCGGACTGCTCCTTCAGGTTCTCCCACCGCTCCTGCTTATGGAAACTCGAAAACAGGCATAGGAATGCTTTACGAGTTGCCACTGGGGAGATGACGGGCTGCGGCTGATGTCCCTCGGGGTGCGGGTAGATTTGGACAGTTCGTTTGAAGGAGAGATCAGAGCGCCTCGGGTCCGAAACAGTCTCTAGGGCCAGCTCCTGGAGCAGGGGGTTGACCTCCAAGACCCCTTCCAATTCTGAGAGTCTATGATTCTGTAAGGGTCTCTTGCTCCAGCAGGGGGTTGGAGTAGATGACCTCCAAGGTCCCTTCCAGCTCTCTTCTTCTATACGGGTTTCTGGCCCTGAGCAGGGGGTTGGTCTAGATGAGCTCTTGAAGGGATTGTTATAAAACTTGTCTCCCCCCCTGCAGACTGGGACGGTGGTCTGGATTGGCATCTTGGTTTACACCGATCCGGCGGGCTTCCGCCTCTACCTGGCCTCCCACGTCGCGGAGCAGAGCGAAGCTGGGCTGCCGGTGCTGCCGGGCGCTGGGGAGGTCCTGCCGACGGGCGCCGATGCCAAATTGTCCCTCTCGGTCTTCTCGGCCGATCCCGGGCGGTCCCCCTCGCCACCGCTGCTCGTGGAAAACCAGACGTCGGAGTCTTCACACCATCCGGAGGCGGAGCGCCCTGCCGAGGAGCCGAGGAACGCCAGGAGCAGGGGGCATCCGGAGGTGGGCTCCACGGCGGAAGTGACGTGGGGCGCCGAAGACGAAGAGCTCTGGAGAAAACTCTCCTTTCGCCACTGGCCCTCGCTCTTCAGCTACTACAACGTCACCCTGGCCAAACGGTGGGTTCGGGGGTCCTTGGGGCTCTCTGAGCTAGGTGGGTTTTCTTGCAGACATTTCATGATCCTACTAGGTAGCATCATCAGTGCTAGAAGGGAGGAGGGAGGGAGGGAGGGAGGGAGGGAGGGAGGAAGGAAGGAAGGAAGGAAGGAAGGAAGGAAGGAAGGAAGGAAGGAAGGAACTGTGAAGTCCTTGGGGCTCTCTCAGCTGGGTGGTTTTCTTGCAGATGTTTCATGACCCAACTAGGGAACAACAGAAGGTAGTTGGGTTTGTGGTGGTGGTGGAGGAGGAGGAGAAGGAGGAGGAGGAAGAAGAAAAGTATTGTGGGACCCCCAGTGCTATCTGAGCTTAGTTGTTGTCTTTTAGATGTTTCATGACCCAGCCAGGGGACATCATCAGTGTTAGAAGGCATGGGGTTTGCTCTTATGTTTATATAGTAATTGCTTGCCCTGACCATTGGTGGGAAATGTCCTTGTTGGTCCCTTCGTTAGCTGCTACTCTGTGGTGGGGATGATTGCTGGCAACCTCAACTCACCGGAGAATTCTGGGAGTTGAAGTCTGCAATTCTCCAAATTCCCACAGTGGACCAACCCTGTGCTAAATCTCAGGAAATGGAGAGGGGCCAGCGCAGGTCCCAAGCCGCCCAAACGGCTGCCATTTCCAAGCAATTTATGCCACTTTTTGGATCTCACGCTCACCGAGAATTCCCAGCTCTTGGATGTGTTAACGTTCTCCTGAATTCGGGACCGTGGCTGTTCCCGTGGCTCTGCCAGACGGGTGAAGAGCTCTGATCGAAGACGGTGATGGTCACCTTGGGGTGTTGAGTTCCTGTCGTCTGCCTCCCGGAATTCCTTTGGAGGGGTTGGGTTTCTGCAGTCTGCCTCTTTGGGGTGTCTCTTCTGATTCTTTGGGGTGTCTTCTTCTCCAATCATTCTTCTCTTCCTCCAGGTACATTAGTATCCTTCCAGTCATCCCTGTCACCCTGTACCTGGAGCCCCAAGAGGCTTTGGACGCACGGCATCCGCACGAAGCCAATCGGTATCAGTCCTCCTTCTCGTTGGGCATCGTGAAAGCGGAACAGGCAGGCCGGCTTTCAGACGAGAAGCCCAAAGGGCACAGCCCGCAAGATGTCACCCTCTACAAGTGAGTGAGACCCGCAGCAATGGAGCTGTGTCCTGGTTAGTCCTGGGCGACACCAATCATAGGGCGTTCCGCTTCCACTAAACGTGCCGTACGGGGTTCCCAACGCTCCTCCGTGGTCTCAGTCTGACCGCCACCACCAACAGGCTCCCTGTTGCTCGGGCATCTCCCGGATATAGGCAACAGGGACGCTGCAACTGTTGTAAGTGCGAGCCGGTTGACGAGTGTCCGGAGTTTGATCATATTGTCAACTCAAGAAGTGAGAGGAGCCGAATGTCAACTCATAAAACATTCCTATGCCTGTTTTAGTAGTTGCCATAAAAAGCGGGGGAGGGGAGAGGAAGGAAATCTGGAAGAGCAGTGCAGCAGTTTGGAAATCGAAAGTACATTCCAACTCTTATCTTTAAAATACTGTAACTAAACTACCAGAGCTTTTGCCCGCAAATATATTTAATTGGAGAACTTGAATCATGACACCTAGCCCGTATTTGGAGAATGTGATTGATGACACCCAGCCCAATTGGAGTATCTGGTTTATGAGACCCCCAGGGGGGAGGGGGGAAACAGGGTCACAGGGGACTGTAAATTACGTAGGCCAGAGTTGGCTTCGTACAGGGCAGGGCCAGTATGTCGCCCCTAATGCATCCTTTGAAGTTTCTTGAAGTTTGGCTCCAGAATCATGATTTAATCAGGGCGATTGCTGGAATCCTGACACAGGTAACCGTAGGGATGTTGCGACGGGCATGTAAGTGTGCCAAACGGACGTGAATTGCTTTTTTCAGTCACTAAATGAATGGCTGTAAGTCAGAGGACTACTAGTATCTGAGCCACCTTCTCCTCACCTGAAGTCAGTAGTGAAATGCTACCGGTTTGCCTGAACCAGTAGTAAAAAGAAAAAAGAGAGAAAGCTCTGACAATCAGCTGAGAGGATAACAAAGAAAAAAGCTCAGGAAACCAGTAGAATCCTACTATGATCTTTGGAATATGGAGGAATAAGGTTTCCAGGTTTCTTCATGCCTTCTCCTTGTCTCTTTCCAGGGTGGCTGCCCTTGGCCTGGCATCTGGCATTCTTTTGGTCCTTCTCCTCTTTTGTCTCTACAAAGTCTTGTGCCCCAAGAATTATGGGCAAAGCGGGCTTTCCCACAGTCGGCGGCGAAGAGGGGACCTCCCCTGCGACGACTACGGATATTCGCCTCCCGAAACGGAGATCATCCCCCTCGTCCTCCGAGGCCACCTCATGGTGAGAGTTGCATTGGGCCCGTGGAGCTGATGACACTAAAGTCAAAGGGGTATTCTTATTGACTCCCAACAGCTGAGGTCTTCTTTCTTAGGATTTTTTTTTTCTTGAAGAGGTTTCGCTTCTCATCCAGAGAAGCTTCCTCCATTCTGACTAACAGTTCAGTTCTTCATTCGGAAAGGAAGGAAGCTTCTCGGATGAGAAGGGAAAACCACTTCAAGGAAAATCAGTTGCTTTTAATCACCTTTGAAGGTTCTTCATTGGGTCTATCAAGCTTGAAGACTGGGGATAGGAATGGGGAGGGGCTGGCGGGGTGGAAGGGGGAAAGAAGCAAGCGGGGGTGGGGCGGGGAAAGAGAAGCCACTTGGGAGCATGTCAGGTGCGAGCAGCCGGAGGCACCCTAGTAGTAATTATAATGGCTTTATTGCGGTCATAGACCACGTTTACAAATAAGAGGCATAAATCAAATCGTCAAATAAATAAAATAACATAAAATACGACTAAAATAAAATATAAAATAAAAGCATACACTTGAATGAAATAGAATAAAATAGTATGAAATATAAAATAAAAGTATACATTTGAATACAATAGAATAAAAGGATATTATAAATTATAAAATAAAAGTATACATTTGAATAAAATAGAAGAAAAGACGAAAATAGAAGAAGAAAAAATAATATAATAAAATAAAGTGCATATTAAAATAAAAATAAACAGTACTGTAAAGATTAAGATGTGTAAAAGGTGAAAAGGAACAAAAATTATTGGAAAAATAAAGAAAATGAACAGAGATGTCATTTAAAATACATAATAAAATATATTTATTTTAAATATATTTAAAATAAAATAAAAATAAAATAGAATAAAAGAATATAATGAAAATAACAGGATAAAATATAATATAAAATTAAAAAATAAAACAAAAATAAAAAAATAAAATAATATAAAACAAAATAGAATAAAATAACAAAAAATAAAATACAAAACAGAATAGAATAACATAATGAAAATAAAATACAATAAATGCAATAAAAAAATTATATAAAATAAGCTAGAATAACAAAACAAAAATCAAATAGAATAAAAGAATAGAAAATATGGAATCAAGTAGAAAAATAAAGTGATAGAAAATATAAAATACAATAAAAATAGTAAAATGAATAGAAAAATAAAAAGAACTAAAATAACAAAAACAATAAAATAAAAAGGCAAGCTCATACAGCTAACCTGTGACTTTCAACAGTTCATTTAGTGACCGCTTGAAATGAACAACAGCACCTGAGGAAAGTGACATACAATTGTTATTCAAACTTTTTAACAACTGCGGTTGAGTCCCTGTCCTTAGCTCCAGCTCCTGCCAAGGACCCTTTCAAAACCTGGGTGCTCCTCGGTGCTTCTGAGCCAAGGGCAACCGCCTCTTGCCAACGTCTTGCCCTGTTTTGCAGGACATCGAATGCCTGGCTAGCGATGGGATGCTGTTGGTCAGTTGCTGCCTGGTGGGCCAGATCCGGGTGTGGGACGCGCAGACAGGCGACTGCCTGATGGTCATTCCTAAGCAATGGTGAGTCCCGCAATGGTGGCCGCAGATTTCGGGGGTGCCAGCCCAGTTGTTCTCCCTCAAAACAAGTGTGCATTGCGCCGTTCCCCACAATCCGCCGCACGGCATGGACCTTCAGGTGTGATTCTATTCAAACATGCACCTTTTTTGTGCAGCCCTTAAAAAATCGCACGAGAACAGAGTGTGCGTTCGAGAATCGTTTTTTGTCACATGTTGCCGACAAAATGTCCCACGTCAGCTTTGCTGTACGTGTCACAGGCTTGCCATCGCTGGCTTAATGCAGAGAAGCAACGTTGGTTGGACAAATGTTCCCACAAGGTCTTTCTCCACATAACAGGTAGTCCTTGATTTATGATGCTTCATTTAGTGACGGTTGGAAGACAACAGCACTGAAAAAAGCGACATGATCATTTTTCACACAATTGACAGTTTCATCATCAAAATTCAGCCGCTTGGCAACTAGCTTGTATTTATGGCATCCCGGAGTCCTGCGATCCCCTTTTGTGACCTTCCAATAAAAGCAGGAACCCAGATTCACTTAACAACCATGTTAGTAACTTTAAACCCTGCAAGAGATTCCCTTAAACAGCTTCGTAAAATGGGGGTGAAAATTCACTTAACCTGTCCACGTAGCCCCAACAATTTTTGGCTCCGTTGTGGTTGTAAATCAAGGACTACTTTAGAGGGCAGATGCGCTAGTGGAATAACTGACAGATAATGTCGTACGGGACAAGGTGCAAGCAGAGGCAACACGCTGTTTAGAGGGATGGTGGCGGCATTGCGACTCGTCCTATCTATTTGTCCGTCTTTGTGGGCTCTGGGTGCGCCAACGCTGGAAGTGTTTAGTAAAAGATTGGAAGGTCTCCTGCTTGCACAGGGGGTTGGACTAGATGACCTCCAATGTCCCTTTTAACACTGTTATTCTAAGATTTTGGAAGGATCTCTTGCTTGAGCAGGGGGTTGGACTAGATGACCTTCCAAATCTGTGATACTATTATTCTGGAAGGATCTCCTGTTGTCGCAGCAGGTTGAGCTAGAAGATCTTCGAGGTTCCTTCCAACTCTGTCATTCTATGATTCTGGAAGGGTCTCCTGCTCAATCAGGGGGTTGGACTAGATGACCTCTGAGGTCCCTTTCGACTATTATTCTATTATTCTGGAAGGAACTCCTGCTTTCGCAGGGGGTTGGGCCAGATGACCTCCGAGGTCCTTTCTGGCTCTGTCCGACGATTCTGTAAGGGTCTCCTGCTGCAGCAGGGGGCTGGACTAGAAGATCTCCCAGGTCCCTTCCCTCATTCTGTGACACCACATGGGATCTCCTGCCAGAGCAGGGGAAATCGGACTAAATGACCTCTAAAGCCCCTCCCCACTCTTTCTCCTTCTGCTTCTTTTTCAGCTTGCCCCGGGATAACAGTAGCAGCCTCCCGGATTTTCAGGATTGTTGGGATTACAGTCCCGACGGGCGCAGCTTTCCGGAAGACTCCTGGGACGGTAGCCCTCCGTTCTGTCGCACCCGCAGCCCCCCACCGCCCCTGCTCTTCAGCGACCAACCGGATCTCTCTTCCTTGATCGATACAAATTTTTCAGAGCAACGCCCACGCGGAGCCCCAGGACCGCGCCTCCGTAGCATCGGGGGACGGCCGGACGGCTATGACTTTGGCAGCCTGGTGGGAAGGGCATGCGAGCATGGAGCCCTGAACTGCACGGCCTTCTCCCGCGTCTCGACTGTTGCGAAGCCCCGCGTTGGCGAGGACCCCGAATGCCTCCCACAACGGGGCGGCTTGGTGGCCAACGAGCCCGCCAGCGTCCCCACGAAAAGCCCCCCTCCAATTTCCTGGCAGGGCGATGTGGACAGCTCGGTCTGGAGTTTAGAACTGCAGGGGAATCTCATCGCGGCCGGCCGGAGCAACGGGAGGCTGGAGGTAAGGGGAGTCTTCGCTTTACAACGGTTTCATTTAGTGCCCGACATGACCCTGGCCTTGAAAAAAAAAGGGACTTCGGGCCGGTTTTGCTCCTTAACGATTCTCAGATTGAACTTTGGAAGGTTGGCTCACGACTTGTATTTATGACGGTCCTAACGGAACGCCCCATTGACCTGGGATGCCAGATTCACTTAACGACTGTGTTCCTCACTTCATGAATGCAGCGATTCACTTAACGGGAAGCAACAGGCATTACAATAGCCGATGTTTCACTTAACCCCATAAAGGATGTGCTTGGGAGGCGGGCTGTAGGATAGTCCTCAACTTACGATGGTTCGCTTAGCAACCACTTGAAGTTGCAAATGGCCCTGGAAAAAAGGGACTCAGGGCCGTTTTTCCACACTTAATGACCTTGTGGTATTCTACCAAGGTCACATGATCAAAATTCAGACCTTTGGCCACTGACTCGTATTTATGACAGTTGCCATATCCCTGGGTCACATGCTCCTCTTTTGCAACATTCTGACAAACCGGGGAGCCAGATTCACTTAACAACCAGGTCTCTGATTAAACCCCTGCAGAGATTCTCTTAACAACGGTATCATAAAACGAGACAAAATTCATTTAACCGTCCACTTAGCCGCCGAAATGTTGATCGCCACCGTAAGTCGAGTCCCTCCTGTTCTTAACAGTAAAAGGAGAGTTTTTGAAGTGGTTAGCTCACTTAAGAATCTGACTTAACGACCGCCCCAATTCACTTAAAGACGGTGGCAAGAAAGTTGGTCATCTGGGATGAAACTCACTGAACTGTCTCGCTTAGCAACAGAATTTGGGGGGGGGGGGGGATCAATTGTGGCCATTGGTTGAGGGCTACCTGCAGTTGGTTCTCGGGTGTGGGTGACACCCCAATGGCGCTGTGTCGCTTTTGACATGCATGTCATATGTTCCGCTGTCCCCCCAAAAAGGAAGAAAACTTCCACTGTGCTTCCCATCGATGGGACGGATGACCGTTTCCCCCACTTAATGACCATCGCTGCGCATAGGATCAAACCCTGGACTCGCCTTTATGACAGCCGCAGTGTCCTGGGGGGAGGAGGGGGAGGGTCGCACTATCCCGTCGCACTATCCCCGTTTTGGTGACCTTCCGACGAGCCGGATTCGCTTAACGCCGGTGCCGCTCGCATAGCCTCACTGCACAACGGTTGCCAATATGGTCGTCAAAGGAGGCCAAAAATTCACTTTACGACCATCGGGCGCCCTGGTCCTCTTTAGTCCTCCCCCACACACACAAATATTTTGGGGGTGGGAACTCCCCATTCTCTTCTGCAGGTGTGGGACGCTATTGAGGGGACCCTCCAGTGCAGCCGTGAAGACGGGGCGTCCGGAATCACCTCCCTCGTCTTTCTGAGTGACAGGTATGGATTTCAGGGTCCTGGAAGGTGGGGGGTGGGGGGTGGGTGTTTTTTCTTGCCCAGACGTCTCACAACCTGACTAGGGAACAGCATCCAGTGATCTAGAAGGGAGCGGGGTTCGGTTACTGTTTATAGGCAGTATAATGTCACTCCCTTCTGGCACTGATGATGTTACCTGGTAGGGTCGCGAGACGCGAACCATCCAGTTCAGAGAGCTGGAGAGCTGGAGAGTTCAGAGAGTCCTTCCTCCTCCTTCCTTCTCTTCCTCCTCCTCTTCCTTTTCCTCCTCCTATTTCTTCTCTCCCTCCTGCTCCTCTTCCTCTTTTCCTCCACTTCCTTCTCTTCTTCCTCCTTTCCTCCTCTTCCACCTTCTCTTTTCCTCCTCTTCCTCCTCCTCCTTCCTTTTCCTCTTTCTCGCCCTCCTCTGATCTCTTACTCCTTCTTTTCTCCTCCTCCTTTCCCTCTTTTTCCTCTTCCTCCTCTTCTTCCTCCTCTGATTTTTCCTCTTCTTTTTTCCTCCTCTTCTTTCTCCTCTTCCTCCTCTTCCTTTCCCCCTTTTCTTCCTTTTCCTCCTCCTTTTCCTCTTTTTCTTCTCCTAACTCCCTCCTCCTTCTCGGATTCCTCTTCCTTCACTTCCTCCTCTTTTCCTCCTCCTCTTCCTCCTCCTCCTCCTCTCTTCCTCCTTTTTTTCCTTCTATCCTTCCTCCTCTTCCTTGTCTCCCTCCTTCTGCTGCTCCTCTTCCTCCTTCTCTTCCTTTTCCTCTTTCTCTTCCTCCTCCTCTTCTCTTGCTCTCCCTCCTCCTCCTCTCTTCCTCCTCCTCTTCCTCTTCCTCCTCTTTTTTTCTCCTGCGCTCCCTCCTTCTCTGATTCCTCTTCATTCTTTTTCCTCCCCTTCCTCTTCCTCCCCTTCCTCTTTCCTGCTGTTCCTCATCTTCTCCTTCTTTTCCTCTTTTTCTTCTCCTGCACTCTCATCCTCCTCTTCCTCCTCCTCTTCTCTTGCTTTCCCTCCTCCTCCTCTCTTCCTCATCTTCTCCTTCTTTCCCTCTTCCT